TTGTCCCAGCTCTGCTGTGGGCTTTCAACTCCTTCCAGACGGAACCCATCTTAGGCACCATCCGGGGTCACCTCTGTGGGAGCTTTGATTTTTGGGGTAATGGGATGGCCCTGTGGAGCCCAAATCCTGAATTCTGGACATATTTGCTTGGAGACATGCATATTTCTTAGCATTTCTGTACTTCAGTGTCCTCTGTAAAATGGGGAACTTAACAGTTTCTACCTTATAGGACTGTTGTGTGGACTAAAAGAGAAAATAAATAAATAAAAAGGTGGTGAAAGCCCTGGATTAGCTGTTGGCTTCAGCTTTCCTGTACACCCCGGTGGCAGCAGCCCTCTGCCCACTTCCCTCTGGTTCCCTCTGTCCTGAGGGACTTTCCCAGCTTGGTAATGAGACAAGTCATCTGCTAGGTCACAGCTGGACTCCCTAAGGCCCCGTGGAGACAGAGGAAGGTGAAAGGACTCCCCTGAGTACCACCATCCCATCTGCTCTTCTGAAGGGTCTGCAGCATAAGATCTCTGAGCCAATGGTCAGTAGAGTATGTGAGGTCTTTGAGGGTGATAACCATTGCCTCAGCGTCCTCAGAGCATAACTGAAGAGGGTTATGTGCCAGGCACTGTTCTAGGCACTTCATGGGTGTTATAGTCATCACAACTCTGAAGTAAAGCAATTGTTATGCCTATTCTGCAGATGACGAAACTGAGGTGCATGCCAAGCTCCAGATGAACACAGCAAAGAATATAAGTCACAGCCTTGACAGGAAGCTGATTAGGAAAAGCAGCAAACAGGAAGCTGCTGATTGGCGGTGGAGGGAGTTCTGAGGATAAAGGAAGGGGAAAGGTCCAAGTTACTTAGAAACTGTCATTTCCTTAGGTATCTTCCAACTGTGGTGAATATTTCTAACATTCTGTTTGCACAAGTCTTTTGGACCTTTCTAAGATTTGATGAATGTGATACATTAAATCTTCTGTACTCTAAGAGTTGAATACAATGGGTATTACTATTTATTACTCTTGCTAAGAGTCAAATAAAATATGTATCACTTTTGATTTCAAGTGACATAAATGCAAGTTTCCACCAAGTCGATTCCCACTTACAATGCCCTATGGGACAGGGTTGAACTGCTCCATAGGGTTTCCAAGGCTGCAATCATTACAGAAACAGGCTGCCACATTTTTCTCCTATGAAGTGGCTGGTGGGTTCACACTGCCAACCCTTCAGTTAACAGCCGATCCCTAAACCTTTGTGCCACAGGGGCTCCTCCCAACTAGAATCAGCCTAAGCAAAAGGGGAAGTGTGTTAGATGCTGGGGCATCACGACACCTGGGAAAGGGTGTGGGGTGCCATTAGGCTTCCATTGTAGGCCTCTGGAATTCAAATGCCACCAGAAATCATTCTCTCCCGTTTCTGCTGCTCTCCCCACCAGACCAGCTTCCCCTGATAGCAGGATAGTAAACAGGCTCTAGCAGACCTAAGCTTAGCATCCCACAGTTCTCACCACTCAAAGGGAAAAAAAGTCCCAAGTAATGACTCTGATTGGTCACATTTGACCTAGTATGGCCAGGAAGTCCAAGTGTAATGACGGGCTCTGCCTGCAGCTGGGGTCTATTCCTAGCCCCATCTGGCCCAGATGGTGTTTGTTGGAGCCTTTCAGAGAAGGGAGAAGAACGAGGCAGACAGACACCCACCTTGGGCTTGGCTGCATAACACTTCATTACTGATGGTTTGCCAGATGCCGTAATCAAAGAAAGCATGTTCCAGAGTTCAACTGAACAGACGTTTATTGAGCTTATTGAGCACCTATTAAGTGCAAGGCACTGTGCTAGGTGCCACGGGAAATACAACCAGCGGTCACAGACGGTCCCTGCCCGCGAGGAGCTCACAGTCTAGAAAGGGAGATAAGACACAGTACACACCAGTGCCAGACGTGGGACACTAAGTGCTGTGGGGTCACAGAACATCATGGAGATGCCATGAAGACTCAGGGGCACTATAGCCTCTGGGTGGCGCTGCACCCGTATACAGTGGTCCAGGAGGTGGACAGCCAAGGACACAGTACTCACAGGAGCCTGAACTTGATGCTACATGAGACAAGAGTCAATGGATCAAAAATAGGTTCCTGGAAGGCAGACCTGGTGGCCTGGTTGAGTCTGGAATGAAGAAGCCAAGAGTTGGGACGTGGGCTGATGCTAAGAGGTAAGCTTGAATAGTGGGACAGGGCAAGGTGGGTGGGAAAGGACAAGGGGTTTCCAGGTCGAGCCAGAAATGCGTTCCTGTATGGCAGAGCTAGTGGTGGGCTGAGAAGTCACTGCAAAGGAGGAGGCAGAGGACGATACAGTGGAGTTAGGGAATAGGAAAGTGAGTTTCCTAAAACGTCCATGGCCCACCCACAAGGGAATCATCCAGGGAATTTACTAGGGTGCAGATTTACAAGGACAATGCAGAACAAACGTCTCTGGGGAATCGGCATTCTCAACAAGACCCGCCACCTCCATGAGTTCCACAGGTGCTCTTGTTTGAGAACCACCTGTTGAGCCAGAGCAAGGTGCCAAAGACTGCTCTTGAGATTAAAGAAAGGAATGGAGAACATCTAGTGCTGAGGGAAGAAAAAATAACAAAGTAAAAAAGGTATTCAATGACAAGGTCAAAGGTGTCAAATGTTTTGGTTGTTGTAAGTTGACACTGCGGTGGAAGACAAGGCCTCTAAATCACACCCTGACAACCTTTCCTAGACCGATTCCACATGCTGGGGAGTCAAGTTTGTAAACTGGGAAGTGAGGGGAAGGTAAGGGAAATGGTAACAGTGAAGAAGACAGGGAAATCAAGCTATTTGAAAAATCCAAATGATGTGCAGTACGTGGGGGCAGAGTAGTGGAGAGGCAGATCAGGAAGCAATGGCAACAATCTGAACGCGCTATGGTTAGAGGCTGAAAGGACCTGGACTCGGGGGCACAGGACAGAGGGACAGGTGTGGACAAGGAAATGCTCGGGGAGAGGTGGGAGTGTGAGGCTACAGCTCAAAGATGCAAGTGGGACCTGTATCTGCTTGTTCTGTGGTTGGCTGGGGGTGGAAGGCAAGGAGTCCTCCTTCCTCCAGATGCCACATAGGCCTATGTAGCAGATCATCTCTCCTCACCTCCTGAGAGCAAGAGCAACAATAGCCCATACCTGAAGCTGACTGGCTCCACGGATCCACCATCCATCCAAACAGGTCTCTCTTCTCTCAGATGAGGCAGCCTGAGGCTACTTACTTGGACGCCTTGTCTACCGCATGAAGGTGGCATCTCTGCCCTGCCACCCACTTCACAGGAAGGTCATGTGATACAGGATGCAGAGGAGAAGCACTATGCATAAAAGCCTGCTAACAAAGCAAGGTGGCATCATTGTTGACACTCCACACACTTAACTGAGCATTAACACTGAGCCTAGTATGGAACGGAGCCTGAGAACAGTAAATCACTTTTTTAAAAAGGCTTTTTAACTGGGGTTCTATATATTAAATTTGTCCAAATTTGACCACAGGCAGGACTTTGAATTATGTTTTGTGCTTTATAAATATGAATTCTTGTTTTCCTGTGCTCCTCCCACTGACTCTCCTACATCCTTACTTCCCAGCACCCCAGAAAGAGGAAACGGGGACGTTAAGGTACATCTCTCAGAGACCAAATGAAGAACCCAAAGCTACATCATTTAAAGGTTATGGGTCAAATCACTTCTTGAGCCAACAAGCCTCCTGGCCCCCTCAACCTTGCCAGTTCCACCTGGCATCAGTGGAAGCTCAGTGCACCTCCAGGCAAACCTCTGTCCGATGAGAGGAGAAATACTGGCTTAGCGAGGCTGCTGGCCCAAACCTACAGCCGGGTGATCACAGAGGCTCTCGGAGCAGCCTTATACCTCTAGTGTGCTTTTTGAAAGTTGCCAATTCTGAAGCTGTTAGGTTGAGGGCAGTGATGGAAATCTCCTCCCTGGCTGCCTCAAGTCGCCTACCTCCATATTCACAACTGGGTGATAACTAGTTCCACACTAAGCTGCACTTTCAAGGCATCCAAGAGAAAACATGATTGAAGCCCAGGTCTGGCCACTGGGAAGGTTCTGCGTTAACCAGCACTGGCAAACTGCTGAAGGATGCAAGGATCCAATAAAACCAAGAAAAATACACCAGAGGGGAAGTACCCTGCCACCAAATCTTTCAGTGGTCCTCACGGTCCCTTCACATGAAGCTTCAGCCAACACTGATACAACTTGGGGCTGAGGAGACATGACCCACAGGGCAAACAAGAGACTGACCATGCAGCCTAGGGAGAGAAGACATATAAAATACAGAGTGCTTTGAAGGTCCAGGAGACAGTGGAAATATTCAGGACTACCCAAGAAAAGAACTTCATGGACACAGAGTTTGGGCACCACAGAAACACACCCAGCACTAAAGCCATGGCGTCTGAGAAAACCTCACAGGAAGGGCTTCTGAGGCAGGCTCTATACAGACAAACACAGGAAAAACAAATACCAGGACTCTGGGGTCCCCAAAGAAAATACTAGTGCTATTTATCGGCTTGGGTCATTCTTGAGAATTAAAAAAAAAAAAAAAAAAAAAGTTTTTGGCAAAGTCAGACAAACTTCACATCAGGCATGCCTCATGGTTGTGGGCACCAAACTGCCACAACAATGGGGGTTCTGGTGGGTGCATCAGAGCACTGGAGAGGGAGTCTGGTCCCCAGTTCCGTCTTCTGTTGAGAGCGGGGGAGAAGGGTTAGGCTACAGTTGTTCTACCTTGATAGTGCCCTGGTCATCACAAATAAATAGGCACAAGATGCCATCTAGTGGTATCACTGGGCCACTCTCAGACATGGCTCCCAAATGCAAGCTCCCCTAGAGAAGGAACCCAATTCCTACAACTCCAGACACAGCTGTCAGAGCCAGAGAGGATGAGGGGTGTGCATATTTCATGTTTGTGGACATGACATACTCATTTTAAGAAAATATACTTTAAGAGGTCTTACTTTCCTTAAGAAAGCAAATTTTTTTTTTTTTTTTTAATATTTATTTAGAAAGGCTAGTCATATCCATTTGTCAATATTTTCAGCTTTCAGGAAAATAGCTTAAAAATCATAAAAATGTAAATACACTGAAGAATAAACTGCTACTAAACAATTCTGAACAGGCAGAAAATGTAGACTTTCCTTTTACAGAAAATGGTAAATCTGTAACAGCAGCATCATTTATATGTAGAAAACAGCTGGTTTTAGAACACCAGATCCTTTTATATCGAAAACATGATTTTTCAATACAATTCAACAGCGTTGACACTGGGAAATGGGTATCTTCACATTATGGTACTTCTCATCAGGGATAGACTGGCTCGAATTCCACCAATCCACCCTGAGTGCCCCCTGTGGACACTGTTGCAACGCCTTCCTTCAGTCCAACACCATGGCAGAGAGTGCATTCAGATCTTTCATGTACGGGTGGGCCACCAAAATCTGGTCGATTTTCAGTCTTTGCTCAGAATCGGGGAAAATCTTCAGAAGGGCGTCCCTCAGTTCACTGGTTTCCACAGAAGACCTCTGGGCTGGCATAGGCAAGGTCTGCTGGACATTGGGAAGGAGTGGGCAATGGGGCTGCTGAGGAAGCCAGTGGCTTGGAGGGGGTGCTCCCTGAATCTGGGCTGGAGGCTGGTGGCTGGTGCTGCTTGCCTGGGCACCAGGGCTTCTGAAGCTGGGGTCAAACACGCCCACATTAGGCAGGGCATTAAGTAGAGGCTGCATATCTCTGTGAATGGAAGCAAGTGTTGGTGAGTTAGGTTACATGATAAAATGAGAAAGTCTCCTCACATATCTACTTACCTTGAAGTGAAAGGTGTCCCTTCTGTCATGCATGGACCATGTACAGGACAACAGTGGAGGTGGTGACATCAGCTGCCCATGGGGAACTTACGAGGGTTTCACTGTTAGCATCTCTAGACTGGTTGTGAGAAGGAGGGATAGGTGGTACTACCCTCCCTGGTCTGTTGCCATGAAGACTTATCTCAGCCAGTTGTTTGAGTTATTTCTAAATCAGCATGTAACAGAGTTGTCTTAGAGCATTCATAAATTATGGATAACAAGGTCTGACTCTTCTGGGGAGTTTGATTCTGTATAGCTGTGATGTAGCGAATTATCTAATGTGCTTTCTAGCCATAGTCTGTAACTCCCACCAAACAACATTTCTGCTTTGCTGGGTCTGGGTGAGAGAAGGTGGGAGAAGATACTGATAGGATGACATGATTCAGCTGTAGATAGTACCAGACTTCACTGTAACTGTAAAACTTGAACTTATAGCATGGGTATAAAATGAACCATCTAAGATGCTGGGGTTGGGGAGGGGGAGAATTTCACTATCATCAAAGAGCCAAGAGTGGACCACTTCTTTTGGGCCCCAAGATTCCTGCACAGTGAATCTCCTCAACCCAGGGACAAAAAGCTGTGGCCTCAGAGGAGTGGCCAAGGAGGAGAAGCAGCATCAGTAGCAGCACCAAGAACCAGAGTCAGTGGTAGGCTTCCCAGCCATGGAGCAGGTAAAGCTGAGTGACTCTGGACAGGAGGCTTCTTTGTAAAGTGGGATGCCAGACTTACTGACCACAGAGCTAGAGCTGAGTGCCTCCAGGCTGAGGCTTATGGTGTAGTGTGACCTGTGAGCAATTACCAGCAGCTGATTGCAACAACTATACCTGAGTACTTTCTGATACTGCACTGTAACCTTTAAGTTCCCTAATAAGAACCCATAACTGTAAGCACTGCCTAAGTTCTGTGCAGCCATTATAATGGCTTATCAAACCCTATTGAGTACAGAGGGCTGTGGGAGAAATGGTTGGTGCCATATTTTTACAGGTTGGTGTCCGATATTTGCAGGTTGGTGTCAGAAGTGGGATTTGTTACAATGGCCACTGTCTCGTGGAAGTATGGGATTTTGTAACAGAAAGAAGAAGAGACATGGGAAGTGAACCTTTTTATTCTGAAAGGGTTACTTTACTTGCTGCTATCTGTAATGACTGAAAGAAAGGCACAAGATGTCACGCTGCAGCTGAGGGAAGAAAAGGTGCTAGTGGAGTCACCGGGGGCAAAACCCAGATAAACAAGATGGCTGATAGGGGGCCAGGGGCTATTGGATCTATCCTAACAGAGGGCCAAGGCCATACACACATAAATGGAGAGACAGTCCAGAGAAAAAAATTAAACTTTGTTGTTAAGTGCTGTTGAGTCGGTTCTGAGTCATAGCAACTCTGTATAAGGTTTCCAAGGAGCAGCAGGTTGGTTTGAACTACCGACTTTGTGGTTCACAGTCCAGTGCTGATGTTACAGTGCCACACAAGGAGGAGTCCTTGAATATTTTTAAAAGGGCTAACATTTGTATGTTAATCTGATTGCACTATGGATAGCGAATGTTTCTCCTGCTTGTTAGGTGACGTGCTATTGAGTCATTTTGACTCATAGCGACCCTAAAAAGGGTTTCCAAAGAGCTGCTCGTGGATTTGACTGCTGATTTCATGGTTCACAGTCCAAGTGTTGATCCTACAGCACCACACAAGGAGTCCTTCAAGTACTGTAAAATAAACCTTCTGATGTGATGGGACTTAATACAGTTATCTTGATTACAAAGAGCTTATAAGCCCACCTTTAATCTATACTTGATTGGATACGCTAAAAAGGGAGTTATGAATTGCCCAAAAGTAACATGGTTTATTTTAAGCCAGCAGCATGTGTATAGAGTTAAGGGGCTTAGGTGGGAACCTGAGCCCAACCCAGAACTGCTCAGAGAACAGAAGACTGATGTTTAAAGGAAAGAACTGCAGAGAGAGAAATGACTGAAATTTTGAACTTCAAACAAGCAGTTTGCTGTTAGATGCATTGAGGCATACAAAGTCTGTGCCCATCAGAGAAAACCTCATCCTAGGACTGAAAGTTAAAGTGCACCAGCAAGCAGACAGCCTGGTATGCTCCCTGGTGACCACATAGGTGCATTTGATGAGTGAAGTTGTGGAGAATGAAGAAATTAATTGAGAGAAGAGGAAGAACTGGCTGGTCTGAAGTTTGGGGAGTTGTGTGGACCCCTGAGCCTACGGGAACCATCTTAGTCCATTGGGGACTAGAATTGAGAAAGAGAAAGAGTGAAGAGGCCAGCTAGTCTGAAGTGCAGGGAGGAGTGTGTGTGGACTCCCAAGCTTAACCTATGGAGGATGGCTAAGGCTGAATTGACCAGAATCTAACCAAATGAAAGAAGAGGTTTGATACTGTAAACTGGTGTAAAATCTGCTGCACTTTGATGGCTTGCTCTAGACTGAAACTTGCTTACGAATGCAGATGGCCAAAGTTCCAACATGAACTGAGGACTCTTCATAACAAGGAACATACTTGTCTCCAAAGTACTGGGTTGATGGGGGGTTGGGGGGAGGCTATTTAGAAATTGAATATCTAAAATGGGTGGACAATAAAGACATGAAATGGCTGACTTACAAGCTTTCATGGGTGTGCTCAGTTAAAATGAATGTTATGGGAAAAGTTAACCCATCATGTATGAAAGGGACAATAACTAGGAGAGCCAAGAGGTGGACTGTGGTGCAGTGAATTACCTAATGTTTCTTCTAGCTAGTCTGTTAACTACCACCAAACAACGTTTCTGCTCTTGATAGGATGATATGATTCAGTTATAGATGTTAGCAGAGTTCATTGTAATTGTAATACCTTGAACCTCCAGCATGAGTATAAAACAAACCACCTCAGAGAACAGGATGGGATCTCACTACCATGAAGAAAGGAAGAACATCCTTTGTACCTTGAGGCCCCTGTGCACTGAACTTCCTCTACCCGGAGACAAAAGCTGGGACACCAGAGGGGAGGAGCAGCAGAACCAAGAACCAGGTACACCATAACTGTGAGTATTGTCTCTATGTTCTGTGTGGCCATTGCAATGGATTATCAAACCCAGTTTGAGTACAGCGGGCTGTGGAAGGAATCGTTGGTACCGTATTTTTTGCAATGGGGCTCTGACTGATAAGAATTAGAACAAGAGAACCCCACTGGGCAGAGGGAAAACCCCCATGGACTCATACACTGGGCCCTCCTTTCTGTGTGACTGCCCACAACTTTTCTGCACATGGATGTGTGTACAGGGCATGTACTTTGCTCAAAAGACTTCCTGCTGAATCAGGCTTGCAGATAAGAACTGGGGCTACCTGAGCACCTTTCCAATTTCAAAAGTTGATCCCTCTGTGGAGAAAGGTTCACTCACTTCTTAATCATTTGTGAAGAGCTGTCAGGTGAATGAAAACAAAGGCAGGTGGGGCAGATCCCACTGCCATGCTGCTCAGGGAGGGCAAGGCACCAGAACTCATTTTCCATGAAGTTTGACTCATGAGCTTTGACACTTACACAGAGGCCTCAAGTGTCAAAGCCCAGCAGAGGGTTTCCAAGACAACATTCTTGGGAAAATAAGATGTTAGTGACATCTGGCAGATACTAAAAAATAAAAAAAATAAAAAATAAAATAGCTGTGATTCTTGGTGTGGATGGAGAAGCATGACCTCAGGAATAAATTCTCCACCTCTATAACACAGCCCAAAGCCTCCAAGGAAACATGACTCCCAAGACCAGGGAGCAGAAATCAGGCTGCTTTCATCTGTGGAAGATTCTGCTGAGAAAAGCTCATTCCCATCCCCACCCACACTGAATCCACACCTAGAGCCTCCAGGGATCCTGTTACAGACACACACCATCAGTGGTGCAATTTCAATGCCTTCTAAAGTTGCAAGTTATACATCTTCCTCTGTGTTTTAAGTCTCCACCCCCACAACATCCTATGCAAATATCTGCTGGGAAATAAAGTGCAGCATAATTTTGTTTTAAAGGGGAGAAAAGGCCTGATACTAGGCTCTATGACTCGCTATCAGGGTCTCCAGGACACTTTAGGTAACTGTGTCCATTGCCTGAGAATTCTGAAAATAGAACCAGCTATGAGCAATGTGCCTTTACAAACAAAATCAAAACCCTTCCAAACTAAAAAAAACTAAACAAAGCCTACACTACCAAATAAATTTCAGATTAAGTATGGAATGCTGGCTTCACAATTCAGTGATGGGAGAAAGTAAAGGGCAGTTCCATAGTTTCAGGCATCAATACATTAAGTATTTTTGTTGTTGTTGTTGTTGTTGTTGTTGTTACATGCCATTGAGTCGGTTCCAACCCATAGTGACCCTGTATGGGGTTTCCGAGGAGCAGCTGCTGAGCTTGAAGTGCTGACCTTGCAGTTCAGCACATTAACCCACAGCACCACCATATTCATATCTAATGGCTTTGGAAAATGAATACAAAAATTCAAACACATAACAAACCTAAGTGGATTTGCTAATAAGTGACCACCCAGATTGGAAGTCTTGGTCTTTTAAACCCACAAAAAAATGTCTTGCTCCCCCCCTTCCTTTCCTCTCCTGAGATTAAAAGCACAGGAATAAAAGTTGGTCTTTTTGGGGTGCTTGCTTGACGAGTTTTCACATACTTTAAATCAGTATTGATTAAAAAAAAAAAAAAAAATGCTATCTTTAGTCTTCAAAGACAGCACACATACAACACTCAAGAACTTCGAGTACACTTTTTAAATACAACCAGGAAGAGGAAATACCTAAGAAAGACTTCCTTCTGAAGAAATTCTTCTAATCGAGGTCCACTTCTTCCAAGAGGATCATCAGGAACCATAAATATGTCCCCAACAAAAGTATACTGTAGTAACCTATAACACAAAGAACCATTGCAATACTGATGAAATCACTAAGAAAATATTTCACAGTAGCCAGCCGATTCCACGGCAAATGTCTGCCTATAAATTCTGAGATTGCTTTATTGACTAAAGGGTAAAAACTGCCTAGGTTAAACCATTTTAATTTCTCTCCTTTAGATACTAATAAAAAAGGGTGAAAAACTAGATGATTTGGCCTTCATGTTCCTTACAGAGTCTTACACAGCAATAGTTTCTTAGCAAATCGTTTCCTCTCTTCATATACCTTTGACTATAACTTTGGAAAACAAGAATCAATGATTGTCAGGTAAGGACACAACAGGTTCCATTTTTAGATGAAACTGATAATAAAAGTGTCTATAGACAAACTCATTAAAGTTGTTGTTTTTAAGTGCCACTGAGTATTTTCCAACTCATAGTGACCATTTGAGCCTTTAAATAAATCTTTTTCCTATGGAGCAGTTGATACCTTGAACCACCAACCTGACAGTTCACAGTTCAGTGTTTATCCTACAGAGTAGTCTTTTGTTAAAAAAGGAAAACATGATAAAATGAAGAAAGGAAATCTTGAGGTCAAAAGGCATTATTTATCAAGTCTGGGGAAAATGAAGTATAAAAACAAGTCCAAGAGCCTGTGCTGATGCCCAGACCTCAGTTTCTGACTTGCCTTTGGGAATTCTGAAGCTAATCGGTTGGTTTGAGAACCCCAGTCTTGCCTCCATTTAAACCCTCTGTGCATACAGGTGAGAATGTGCAATAGGAAGACAATGAGCCCAAAGCACAAATCCAACAGAAACATGTCCTAGAGACCATTGCGATTGTTGCTGTTGGGTTGGTTCTGACTCCCAGAGGCTCTGCAGGGTACAGAGTAAACTGTTACATAGGGACTGCCGGGTCTGCCTTCCAAAATGCCTCTGGCTTGAACTGCCAACCTGTCAGACAACAGACCAGCACTTAACCATTTGTGCCACCCAGCAATCGGGTCCTGGAAGATTACTGACTGATTAAATGTGTCCAGAAGGTTAAACATCAATTATCAGTTCAGTTATCACCATCAGCTGTTTAATAATAGCATATGGGTCACTTAAATGCTACCTGGGTATTAATAGCAGAGAATAATTTTTGAAAAATCCAAACACCAGGCAAATGGCAACTGTGAAATCCCAAGAGAGGCACCTTGTTTGACTTACACGTGGCATGAGGTATAATTGCTTCATTTTTTAAGATCTGTGGCATTGTATGACTTATGTCTGACACATCATGGACAATGAATCCAATTTCTCAGATGACGTGCTCAACATACAGAGTGAATAAGTACAGTGAAACAACTCTGATGCATGGTTTTCCTGATTTTAAACCATGTCGTCTCTCCCTTCTGTTTAAATTACAAACTCTTGGTCTATGTACGGTTTTGCATGAGCACAATTAAGTGTCCTGGAATTCCCATTCTTCTACATACCCTACATAGTTCGAATGCTTTTGCATAGTCAACAAAATATAAGTAAATATCTCTCTGCTTTCAGCCAAGATACATCTGATGTCAACAATGTTATTTCTTGTCCATGTCCTCCTCTTCTGAACCAGGCTTGAATTTCTGGTAGCTCCCTGTCAATGTACCGTTACAATCATTTTAAAATTTTACTTACATGTGATATTAATGATATTGTTCAATAATTACTTTATTCTGTTGGGTCATCTTTACTTGGAATAAGCACAGGTCTGGATCTCTTTGTTAGTTGGCTGAATAATTGCCTTCCAAATTTTTTGGCATAGACAAGTGAGCATTTCTGGCATTTCATTCATTTTTGGAAACATCTTAATTGGTATTCTGTCAATTCCTAGAAACTTGTTTTTGGCTGATGCCTTCAGTGCCATTGGTCCTTAGTCATACTTATTTATCTGTATGCTGAGCAAATAATCTGAGAATTTGGATTTTATGGAGAACAATACTGCATTAGGGTTGCAGAAGACTCATTAACCATTTTCAATATGCAGATGACACCTCTTTGTAATAATTTATCTCCAAGAGACAAACTTGCTCACGAATCTATGGAGTTATCATTGGTTAGACTTATACCTCCAGTTTTGAGTGCTAAATGTAGAGGAAACCATGGTAATATAAAAGGTAGGTTCCGAGAAGCTGTGTTACACGAAAACAAAAGATTTCCTCTTCATAGGAAAATCACCAAGAATTTAACTGAGGTTGGGAGGCAAAAAAATTAAGTTCCTGCTAGATGAAGATCAAACAAGTTGGATACCTCTGAAATTATTAGTGTGATTATCAAAGGAGGACTAGTAGTTATATAATCTAATTCTTCCTCATGATCTCAACTATGATTTATGCATTAACTTTGCTTGCTGAAAGTGAAGATGAATTAAAGCACTTATGGATGATCAAAGACTACAGCTTTCAGTATGGATTGCACCTCGACATAAAGAAAATAAAAATCCTCACAATTGAACCAATAAGAAGCACCCTGACAAAGGGCAAAAAGACTGAAGTTGTCAAGGAGTTTATTTTACTTGAATCCACCAATCAATGCTCATGGAAGCAGTTGCCAAAAAAAAAATTCAAACGGCATGTTACAATGGGCAAATCTGCTGCGAAAGACCTCTTACAAGTGTTTAAAAGCAAAGATGTCACTTTGAAGACTAAGGTGTGCCAGACCCAAGCCATGGTATTTTCAATAGCCTCATATGCATGCTAAAAGCTGGACAATGAGTAAAGATGGAAGAATTATGGTCTTAGTAAAGTATACAGAATATAACCTGGACTGTCAATAGAATACACAAAGCTTCATTGAGAGAAAGACAGCCAGAATGCTCCTTAGAAGTGAGGATGGTAAGACTTTATCTAACATACTTTTGACACATTATCAAGAAGCACTAGTCCTTGGAGGACATCATTGCTTGGTTAAGTGGAGGATCAAAGACCTTCAATGAGATGAACTGACATAGTGGCTGAAACATAAAGACTGTGAGGATGGTGCAGGGCCAGATAGTGCATTATTCTGTTGTACATGTGGTCACTATGAGTCAGAAACAACTCTACGGCACTGAACAGACCACAACTATTAGTTTTAAGTAATTGCTCAGGTGATATTTATTAACAAAAAATCCTAGAAGCCAGTATTTACCAATCTTAAGGCAGTTTTCAGCTGGACTTGTCCATAGCATTGCTACAAATAAACTTTTGGTGTAAATGCTAAACTTTTTATTTTGATGCTTTCGATGACATTCAAACATGTTTTCAGTAGATGAAGAAACTGCTAAAGAAAAGCATGAGATATTGAAAAACAGAAACACCATCCCCATCCAAGAAGTGAAAATTCATCAGCATGTTGATTTTGGTCCTATGTCTTAACTGAAATCTCGGCTATCATTGAGTACCTATCTAAGTAAGAAAGGGAGAGCTACCATGGTCTTCTGGGAATCAGGGTAGGGCCAGGTGAGGACAATTCTGTTCCATCACCCACTTAACAGAGTTAACTGTGGCCTCCTGCTCCTGGAATAGGTATGTATGGAAACACACACACCTTCACCACCATCACCATCAGCTGCTGTCTAGTCCAACTCATGGCAATTCCATTTGTGCCAAAATAGAACTGCACTCTGCAGTGTTTTCAATAGCTGATCTTTCAGAAACATATTTCCAGGCCTTTCTTCCAAAGTGCCTCTGGGTGGAACTGAACATCCAAACTATTGGTTAGCAGCTAAGTGCATTAAATGTTTGCATCACCTGGCGGTGGTTAGTGATTATGTGCCAGGGAGTCGGTTCCGATTCATAGCGAGCCTGCATAGGGTTTCTGAGGTTGTAAATCTTTATGGGAGCAGAAAGTCTTATCTTTCTAAACTGCTGGTAGTTTCGGACTGCTGACCGTAAGATTAGCAGCCCACTCATAACCACTATGCTAGCAGAGCTCCTAGATGCTATCATATGTATATATATATATATATCCTGATGAGTTTATACAACCCAAATACACCACTGTGACTAGCAGTTGGTTCAAAAATTGAACACAGTGAGCACCCAAAAGCCAACGAATCACTTGCTAGCCTTGCTGCTTTGTGCGTTCTCCCACTTACCCACAGGGACTGAGCATCCTATGGACTGGGAGCAAATTTATACACTTTGCTCCCCTATACTGCCCTTCTGCATGACCAATGTAGGAAAATACAAACAAAAAAAATTAAGAACAAAGCACTTTGATCAAAGACGAAATAGAAAATATTACCTTTTTGTAATAATTTCTCTCCAAGAGACAGACTCGGTCACAAATTCTCTGAAGTTATCATTTGTTACAATTATGCCACCAGTTTTGTCCGCTAAGTGTAGCAGAAACCTATGGGAATATAAAGAGGTTATGATTCCTGGCTTAGAGAAGAAGATGAGTTACACGAAAACAAAAGATTTTCTCCTCACAGGAAAATCACTAAGAATTTAACTGAGGTTGGGAGGCAGAAAAGTTATGCCCCTGCTGGCTGAATATCAATCAAAAAAGTTGGATACCTCTGAAATTAGTGCGATTAGTAAATTTATACAATCTAATTCTTTCTCTTATGATCTCAACTACAATTGATATCAATTTTTCTAGAGTGAATGTATATTTAATAAATAGGGGCAAAAGGATAGACTACCTGAGGTCCAGAGCAGAGAATGCAATAGAGTTAACAGTCTGGCCTTAGTTGCTAGATTACAGTGCTTTGGTTTGGAGATTCACTGCTTGGCACAAGCAGCTTTAGAGTCCTTTCTCTTTTTTATTTTCTAATTCACAGGTTCACATTTTTGCTCTGACTTCAAGGTATGTTTAGAGTGCCATTCTTATTAAGCTGTTAGATTCATTTTAATGCAAGTTATCAAAGGACACCTGGTGATGAAAAGGGGTAGTAGAAACTAAGCATTAGGGAGAACTTCTAGTTTGTTGCTGGGCATTATTCATGTCCACACTCTCTTAATGAATGAGAAATCTCTGAGGCTACAGTGGCTTTTACCTCTTAGGATGACTTCATCTAAGAAAATACAAACAAAGATAATGAAACAATTAAGAGATTCACTGAAGTTATTAAAAGTGTGAAAAACTGATTTTACTACTGGCAGTGAATAGTTTAAATAAATCTCGTTAGTTTTGGAGATACTAGTATACCTTGTAAATCATATGTGATTTAGCATCTTAGATTTACTAATGAACATTTTACAATTAATTTTTAAATGCAAATGAATTCAAATTCTACTAGTATGAGAACAAAGCTGCAGTGGTGTCAGACCTGAAGGATCTTCATGAGCCCAACCTGCTTTGCTACCTGAGCACTCCCCCAGGTTCCTAGCCTGTATCAAAGGCCTGGAGAAAGAAGTGCCCTGGCTCTACCTCAACCTCTCGGTCCTTTCTTATCCTGTGCTCTGCTCACCCACTGTACTCCCTACTCTCTCAGCTTCCTCTCAGATCTCTGGCCGGACTCTCCCCATCAGATCTGGTCTCTCATACCAGCCTGATGAAGAGCAAAGGTTATGAGGGAGAAAGCCCTTTGGACCTTTAGCGGAATAAATGCCTGCTGTCACCCCAAGCCTCCCCTCCCCCACCTAATCCTCTTCTCATCTCCATCCCTTTCAGCTATCATTCACTAAGCTTGGATCACAAACAAGCAAACCACTCTGATTTCTCTGCAGTGGAGGGCCTTGGTGGGAAACTGAGGCAGAAACATGGGGCGGGGGCACTATGAGTATGACGGAGCAGAAGAAAACAAACCGGTAAATGCAGGAGAGGAAAGAATAAGTAGCCATTTATGTTCCTGGATGCTAACAGAACCTGCTACCATTGATTTCACACAACTGGAGAAGGATTAAAACATGAGTCCCAGTGCTATGGGTCAGGTGTGGAACCTCAACTTAACCACAGCACAGGTGTCTCTATGATTATTTGTGTTCTTCTCTAGAGACAAACTCCTTACACGAGAGGTATATCTGTATCATGTGTCCCTGCACGTCAGATTTGGGGGACACTCGCTCAGTAAAGCTTTTAGGAAGAAAGGTTTTATAGTGCAGATGAAAGCTTGCAGTCTCAGATGCACCAACACCTGCTCTATGCAGCATTCTGAGCTAAGAAATGCAACTGATTGCTAGCACCCCAGGCTGCTGAGATCACTTTCTTTGTGTGGAGGCACTACAGTGACAGATGTAGTCACTGGTCAAATGACACCAGGTGATAAGAGTTTGAAAACCAATATCAAGGCTGCAACAAGTCAGACCAAAATACCAATCCTATTGTTAGCATGCACCAAAACTAAATATCCACATTTACTTACAAATTCTCAACCATGTTTCATTTTAAAACAGTAACTCAACAGTTTTTTGGATCAGGCTCCTAAACTCATACAGCAAAGATAGTTGAACATACAACACTCATGACTATAACTATTAAAATTCACAATTCTGAATCAAGTGAGTTTTTTAAAAGCTTGGGTCAAAATAAAGAAGTGAGTTCTAACACACATGAGCTGTCCACGGCAACAGGTGATTGGCTACTTATCATCCCACCCCCACCTTAGAAAGGAAACAGCCTTCCATACCTGTCGTCATGAGAAGCGATTCTTTCTCCAAAGACCATCCGTGCAGGAGTTAAAGATAATATTCCGAGCTCCTGAAGCTGGGTTAAGAAGTGCTGTTCTGTTCATGGAATAAGTTGAATACACATTCAGAACAAGGTTAACTGCCCAGACATTTTAAGCAAATGAAAATCCACCCAAATGTTTCACATCTGGAGAGATGTGGAAAACCATTCCTTTATCAAGTCGAGAAGACTCAAAGTTACTAACTCACTGGGAATGGGGTTTAAACAAAAACTAAAAAGATAAAGGACTATACTGAGGATAAGGCAATGTATTTTGCTATTTTTAAACAAAGTTAAATTCATTTGCTGTTTAAACTTTAAAAAAAACCCAAAACCCATAAACTCACATTTAATGAACTCTTTCTGAGTCCCACTACAAGCAGTGTAGAGGACAAAGAGAGTGATGGCAACAGTCCCCAGGAGAGAGGCTGGGGTGGAAAACAGGGACGAGTCACTGAAGCAAAAGCAGTGGGGGTTGAGGTGGGGGCTTCCCGACCTGCTCGACCACCATTCAAGAAAGGTTAGCTTGGTCCCAATTCAAAAAATCTGTAAAATATCTCCCTCCAGTTGACTTGTCCTAGTAATCAACACAAATATTTACTGATCTTCATAGGCGTGGGTGTGACAGAGATAAAAGTAGGCCCACAGACACATTTTAGACAGCCAGCAGAAGCCAGCACTCAGGTCTACAGCCCCACATCTGCATTTCCTGCACCAGAACGCACCAGTGACCTAGGCTGAAAGGCCCAAAGACGGTGCTTTCTCGTCCACGACCCACACAAAATACAAGGACTGTAAGACTCTTGTAGGGGTCCAACTACAAAAATAACTATAAAACGATTGGACCTGTCTTACTTCCCAAGGCCCTTCTGTTAGGCCAAAATAATGCTCTCCACAATGAGGGATAGTGGGCTATATGGGAAACGTCTGGTTTCACCATTTCCACTTCACTGTTCATTGTTTAATGTGCTGGGTTGGGTAGATGCCATGCTCACCCCAACAGTCTACCTTTACTTCTAGTAACTCCCATATTTTTTTAAAACTTTTTCTCAGAACTCCAAAAAATCAGCAACCTTAAGTTTCTCTGGAGCACTTCACAACTCATGTTTTTGTTAAGTGCCATTGAGTTGGTTCTGACTCATAGTGACCCTGGAGAAACAGATGGTGGGTTTGAAGTGCCGACCTTGTGGTTTGCAGTCCAGTGCTGATCCTACTGTGCCACAGCAGAAGTCTATGACTCATGATAAAGTCTAATCTTTTGTGTGTGGCCTGAAAATCAGTCACAAAGTACCATGCAAATAATGAATGATTTATACGAAGCTATTAAAAACTATTTAAAGAAAAGATATTCTACCTGAGGATGGGGAGCATGGTGGCTCTGTAGAATAAGCACTGAACTGCAAACCACAAGGTTCAGGCCCACCAGCCAATTCACAAGAGAAAGCTAACGCTTTCTGTTCTTGCAAAGATTTAAAGCCTTGGAAACCTGGTACAGGGGTCGCTATGAGTTAACTGACTCGAAAACTTGAGGATACCAAATTTTATCAGGTGGTCATTTAAAAAACTGTCTAAACACAGGGCAGACTTACATCCCTAGAAGTCTTATACAGGGCCACTCATTACGAGTTGGAGCTGACTTAGCAACACTCAGTAATAGTCAAAAAACCCAGCTTAATGAAAAGATGTATTTAATTTACTTTTTAGACCAATCAAAGACTTTTGTGATATATAATGAACTCTAATATAACTTTATATAATGGGATATTAACTGTCCAACCCCCCATCCATGAATGTCTTATGTTCTAAAAGGCTCCAGGGTTGATGCTTCACTAGAATTCTGAGATCACTAGAGTATCAGTGAAAGTGAAATAATACAAGCACAGGGCAGATTCACGCAATGACAATTATAAGCGATTTATAATTTAAAAAACAAACAAAAAACCTGTTATCTATGGCACATGGCTGTAGTCTAAGTGTGTGTGAGGATTATAAACCAACTCATCAAACATCTAATCAGAAATCTGGAGATGTTTACGTCTTACCTGTGATGTTCGGGTCCCGCCTTGTTCTCCACTGAGGGACAAATACAGTGATGTTTCTGTTTCCAAGCTTCCAAAAATATTCAACTGCGATAGCAATTCCACGACAAGAAAAGAACTTTTTCAAACCATGTCTACAAGAAAACAAGTACAATTTATTTCAGTTAAGCATGTTTAAAGCATATTGTTTCCAAGAAAAATGAACATGTAAAATCTACACAGATGTAATACAAACAACTAGAACACAGCTCCCTTTAATAACAGCATTTTTACTTTTGGGGGGCATTAACTACATGATCGCCACTTTGCAAAGCCAAGAGAAAATGCATTGTTTGTTGTTGTTGTTAAGTGCTGTCAAGTTGGTTCCGACTCATACCCAAGAAGGGTATGGTGAGTTTGAACCACCAACCTTGTAGTTCAAAGTTTGGTCCCACCATGTCACACCAGGACTCCAAATGCAGTGTAGGAGATGCCATTCTTAATACAGGTTTACAGTTTTTCTTGTACTCTGCTCATTTAACTGAGTGTACTATCATGATAGAAGGCAGTTTGAGTTCTGTGTTAACAGTAGAGTTGACTGTACTTTTATTTTCTTAAATAAGAAAAAAAGTACAGTTTAAATTTTAAAGTTCTGATTAGTCATCAACTTCTAACACTCTTCTGTAATTCTTAATAAAGAAATGTTTTGCTGAAGCAGAAATGAGGTAGCAGCTGTGGTCATGACTACTCCCTCTGCCTGCCCATGTCAGAGGGCAGACTATGATGTGACAGGATCAAAGGGGCTGTCACCTCTGGCTCCAGGAGGCCCAGTTTCCTTTCTGGAGAATGAAGAGACCTGGCTGATTCCTACTTACAAAAAACCAGCTGAGGGCAAGACTCAAACTGGGGCCAGGGTAGGTGTCATTCATTGCTGAAGGAGTAGAAAGCAGAGAAAATGACATGAACTAGTATAGATGAGATTCAGATGGATATGACCAGCATACAGTCTGTCTGCAATGACTCCACTCGGCTGCTGCACTGTGAAGGCCTGCAGACAGTCACATACAAATCACATATCATGGTGATCTAGGCTTATAAACACAGGCGTTGGGCCAGAGTTGGTCTAGAGGATATTACAAAAATGCTCCCCACACCAAAAGGTTCAATGATAAATCTCAGACTAGGAAAAAAAGGTTGTTTTAGTTTCTGAAGCTTAAAACAAAAGTTTGTAAAACTTTGAAATTCTCCAAGTGGTAATCCATTTGTTAGTGTTACTATCCACAGGTATTAGAATGAAAAAGAAAAGACCTAAATCGAAAACTGAGATGCTATGAATCATGTGATTCAGCAACCACAGACACTCTCATGACAGTGATTAATTCTACAGGCTAGGAGCGGAGGAGGTATCTGGGACCATCAACGGAGAAGAGCCGAGAGTGGGACTCGACCCAGAGAAACAGAGATGCATGAGATGGAGACAGAGACGATGACGTGGAGTAATGAAGCGGCTGGGGACTTTGGATCCAGAGAGGGAAAGGGACTGTGGGCCGAAAACTAAGGGGGGTGGGGGGGAGGAGTGTAGGGAGCGGGTTTCTAGGATATACCCTTTGGTTGCTTGATGATGCATGGAGGGTATTGGAACCATGGCAATGAGATGATATGCGATGGAATGAATGTAAAATTAAAGTTCTCTCATGTAAACTACCATATAATTCACAATAAAACATTACAAAAACAAAAAAAGGAAATGCACTGAAATAGTGCACTGTAAAGTGCCTCCTTTATAATCAGCTGAAAAAGTGTGCCGATTCCCTTTCCTCTTAACCTTAAATGCTTTTGTTGATGGCAGTAGAAGCTGGGTTGCTATAAAGTGCCATCAAGTCAGTGCTGACTCACAGTGACCCAGTATAGGGTTTCCAAACTCAGTATAGGGTTTGAACCATAGACCTTGCTGTTCAAACTAACCTTGTGGTTGAGTGCTTATCCTACAGAGCCACACCAGGACTCCAGAAGCTGGGTGGGGGTAGAATAATTGAGTTCCATTTCACTGGATCACCAGGGAAATTAAGGGAAATGCAAATATGATGAAAACTTGGCTGCCTTGGACACAGCAAGCTCAAAGTGGGGAGAAGTGCAGTTTCTTGAAATTAAATTTCAACACTAATTTCCAGAGTGTTTTGCTCAGTGATTAAATCACTTTTTGGTACCCTGAAAAGTCTCTAAAGTTGTGCTGGGACTAAAACCAGCTGCTCAAAATTCTAGAGAACATACAGATTTTACTCAGAACATAAAACTACAGGAAAAAATTAAGTGAAGCCAAATCATTGTCCTCAAAACAGTACAGTAGGTCCACTAAGGACCCTTTCTACTTCAATTCCAGCATCCTGAACAGACAGATATTTGCTTCATCACTATTGTTTCCCACCCCGCTACAATCAAAATAGAATCAACAGGTTAAACTACAGTGTCAATTATGATTCAGAGAAAGTATACATACATCCACACATATATAGCACACTACTGACAAGGCCACAGCTCTGGGGCTCCCACTCCAAAAGCATCAAATGGGAGGCCAGGTATGCAGGCTCTCAAGACATTCATTCCTGCTTCTGTACAACAGGCAACACATTGTGTCACCTGATTGCTTCCCATATTACAGCAGGTAGTCTACCAGAAGGAAGGGTATCCAAAGTGGAAGAGAGACAGGCAACAGACATGTGACAACAACTCACAGCAGTCAGAACCAGACAGGGCAGTGTGATGATCGTGAAAACCCTGAGTTAACTCAGGAAAGCGTAATTTCCTTCTAAAGCCTTCACTTAAAAATAGCCTATAACCATGTTTTAGGAAAATGGTTAAAATACACAGTTCTGACAGAGGAAGGAGCAAACCTCATTTACATGGAAAATTGTCAACCTGAGATGTTAGGTGTTCTTATGCTGACATTTCAGACTGACAGAGCCCACGTATTATTGGCCACTACCGTGCCGTCTAGCCATATACCACAAATTTTCCATTTACTCATCATTTGACTCATTCATGGTGACAAGGGGGAAACCCAAATAGAGATATACATACTGGCAGCATAAAGGAGGGTGTTTTCTCACGGGTCGGATATGTATGAGCTGCAGATCTCATGCTGAAGAAGCAAATAAACAAGCACAAGTCCAGTGATAGGCAGGCTTGGTTGCTGTACGTTAAGATTCAAACCAACAAATCCTATTGCTTAAGAGCTCTAATTTCCTTTAGGCTACTTCCTCCTAGCTTACTCAGAAGTGCTTAAGCAACTCAATATTGCCAATTCCTGAAAATCCCAACCTCAGCTTCTGTGTGATGAGACTTTGGCGTCCGACGTTATATGCTCAAATCTCCTAACTGTATCCTCTTGGACAAGACTTCTAAGCCTTTCTGATTCTCCCTTTCATGCTATGTAAATGATAACTTTTCCTCACAAATTATTGTGAAGATTACACCATTAATAATAAGTGTCTGATCTATAAAACAGGTGTTTCAGATTTAAGATTCCAAATATTTGCTGGATTAAATAATATGGCCTCACTTAAACTTTTATCAGAATAACTCATTGGAATATCAACTATGAAATTGCAAATGGATGAAGTCATTTTAAAAAATCCAATCTTCTTTAAGTCTTTAATTCACTCATTTATTCAACAAATCTTTATGGATACCTATTTTGTGTCGGACAACATATATACTGGAGATAGCTCAATGTATGCTAGAGCAGACACATTACTCCCTTCGTGGGATTTATGTTGCTTTTATTAAGTGCTGCTGAGTCAATTCTGACTCACAGCGACCCGGTATATTGTTTCCAAGGTTTTAAAATCTTCGCTGGCATAGTACACCTTTTTCTCCTGTGGAGTGGCTGGCTGCAGGCTCAAACTGCATACCTTCTAGTTCGCAGCCCAGTACTTATAGTATTGACCCACATGCTCCCTCATGAGATTTATGGTCTAATCGAATTCAGATTAATATTGAAATAATTTACTTAGAAAAGGGTTAATAAGTAGAATATATTTTCAGAATAACATACATAAAATTAAGTAGAAGGTTGTCCTTAGGGTAACACATCTTTAATAAAAGTGTTACTACTAAACTGGGTATCTTTGAATTTGGAAAAAATTCAAATCCCCCTAAAACAGTTAAGAACTAAAGCATGTTCTATCACAGTTTGTGGTTTGCCTTAGTGCATTAACTCAGTGATTTTCAAAAGAAATGGTACTCTATGGATTGTTGGGAAATGAATACTTTGGAGTGTGCAGTGACTGATGGTAGTAGGGTGGGAACTATTGGGACAGCTAGATAGCACCACCCCAAATCCCAATAGTGACTTCTCTGAAAACCACACTGGAAAAGAACCCACTGCTCACTTATTAGGTTCTAAACTTGTTAGGTTCTAAAGACCAAGTTGATATACAAAAACAGAATGAAACAAAAATGGAGGTTGGCCACATCAGATCACAAAATGTAGGATGACATCCTTGGGTAGCCACCAAATTACATCATTAAATAACTGCCAAAGCACTAAGAATCATGGCCCTGCCAAGTTGGCATATAACCTTAATCATCATAGCCAGCATTACCCTCACCTCAGCATGCATTACTGTCAGATGAACACTGTTAGCACAAAATAGACGGGTAGTAGATTTTTTACTGTTATCGTAAATGGGAAATGTCAGATAATGAGACAGTAGATAAGTGAGGAGTAAGATGTACTCCAAGAAGATTTTTGAAGAGTTGTTATCAATAGTCACTCTGTATATTTGCATTTCCTACTGCTTTACTATGAAATGGAAAATCTTTCCACATACAGAAAAGTGAAAAAAAAAAATTACTAGTACAATCATGACATAAATTTTTTTTATCACTATTTGGCTCAAGAAATTGGAATGATGACTTTCAGCAAGACGGCTAAAGAGGCAAATAAGCTACCCAGAACCGCTGTAAGGAAACCAACGGAAATAGATACAGGTGATAAACCTGGAACTCAAGGCTCCAAAGGAAAGAAGTGACTCGAATACCAACTAGAAGAAACTGAACAAGAACAGTAAACATGAAGACAAACTAGCCTGACAGAGTGTGGCCATTATGAATAATTACAAGCAGCAGTCCAATAATGACAACTTGGTAACTG